AGGGTTCTGAGACTAAAATGTGCAACAATAAATATCATGGAAAGAGTTTCATGAAACTCTGTTGTCTGAATGAGTTTCACTTTTGTTTCAAAACGATAAGAGCTCTTTAAAATTAGGATTCTGACCCTGAAAAACAATTTTCATGTTAGATTCTTACACCAGCATTTTGTTTGCAAAAGTATCACTTTTTCCAGCAAAACAGTCAATGAGGCATCCACTGAAATTGTCCAAGCAGCTGAATTTCTTTTTGCTGCTCTGCCCACAGTTTCAACAATGCTGGAGATAATAGAGGTCTTTTTTTTTTTCCTCTTTTCCATTAATATGGAGAAAAATGTGTTTTAAATACTCTAACATGAATGCAGTCCCTTAAATATGAGGATTTTTCTAAAACTGAAACCAATATTCCCAGCTCTTACACTGTAATTGTCAAGATAACTTCAGTATTCAAGTGGATTTTAAACAGTTGAACAACCAAAATTAAAGTAATCCAAGAATTTATATCACATAATATACCTAAACCACCTAATCCAAGATGTTTAGCTTTCTACCGAAGATTCCAGTAAACTATAAAATTATAAATGATTTAACCATTCAGATTACTCATCTTATTACTTGTAGAAAAGAAATGCAATATGTAATTCCATAATTTCTACCATAGTCACTTTTCTTATTATGCCTATGCAGGTACAAGCAATTTGTATAACTTACTTCCTAATTATTATCTCTAGCATCCAATGTTTTACACCGGTAACACTTTCTGGCTGATTTCCCTCTTTTGTAGAAACCTGAGGTAAATGTAAAAATAATTTTTATTTTTTTTTAATTGATTTTTAATTTTTTTGTTATATTTACAGAAATATTTGGCTTATACAGACCACATACATTAGATGCCAATCTAACCTGAAGAAAGGAAAGTAATTTTGTAATAGTACCAGTTTCTCATGGATATTGAAGGGATAGTATTCCACAATTATTCAAATGTTCAGGAAGCCATTTTATCTACTTCTGCAGGAACCTGATCTGTTACACATTCAGTAGCCAAATTGTATAAGGCCTCTGGGAAAGACTGTAAGAAGATTAGTTTAGAAATACTATCATTTCTGTTGGGCTTATTGTTTTGTGGGTGGGGGGAGGTGGGAACAGTGGTGGCATCTGTAAGAAGCTGCCAGAAGCTTCCTCCATGTCTGGCAGAGCCAATGCCAGCCAGGATGGACCCACTACTGGCCAAGGCTGGGCTAATCAGGAATGGTGGCAGCACCTCTTTGATAACATAGTTAAGAAGGTAAAAAAGCTATTGTGCATTTGCAATTGCCACCAGAGAAGAGTAGAGTGAAAACATGAGAGGAATTGTCCTGCAGACACTCAGGTCAGTGCAGAAGGAGGGCAGGAGGTACTCCAGGTGCCAGAGCTGAGATTCCCCTGCAGCCCATGGTGAGGCAGCTGTGCCCCTGCAGCCCATGGACATCCATGGAGATACAGAAATTCATCTGCAGCCGCTGGAGGAGACCACACTGGAGCAGGTGAGTGCCCAAGAGGAGGCTGTGAAGCTGTGAGAAACCTGTGCTGGAGCAGGGTCCTGGCAGGGACCTGCAGACCCATGGAGAGAGGAGCCCCCACTGGAGCAGTTTCCCTGGTAGGACTTGTGACCCTGTGGGGACCCGCACTGGAGCAGGCTGTGCCTGAAGTACTGCAGCCTGTGGAAGAGTGATCCACATTGGAGCAGTTCAAGGATAACTGTTGCCTATGGGATGGACTCATGTTGGAGTAGTTAATGAGGAATGTCTCCCACGGGAAGGACCCTACAGTGGAGCAGGGGAAGGACTCTTCCCCCTGAGCAGCAGCAAGAACAATGTGTGATGAACTCACCACAACCCCTACCCTGTGTCCCTGAGCTGCAGCAGGGAATAAGATGGTGTCTAAGAAGGAGGGAGAGGTGGTGGGAAAGTGCTCTTAAGATATATTTAATTTCTCATTACCCTACTCTGATTTGGTTAAGAAATAAATTCAATTAATATCCCCAAACCAAGTCTGTCGCCTGTGATGGTAATCAGTGAGTGATTACTCCCTGTTCTTACCTCAACTTATGAGCCTTTCATTATATTTTCTCCCACCTGTCCACTTGTGGAAGGGAGTGATAGAGCAGCTTTGGTGGATGCGTGGCATCCAGCCAGGATCAACACACTACATCATCACAATCTACAACACTCACACAGATAATATGAAATTAAAATTTTATATAGAAATTGTCTGGAATTACATAATAGAATATTTAGAAGTGCAAGTATTTTTTTTTTTTTTTCCAAAATGTTGAATATAAACATAACAATATATAATATTGAATTAGGTTTTTGTGGTAGTAAGGTTTTTGTAGTGGACAATGGCTTCAGAAGTGGCTTCTGTGAGAAGACACCAGGAGCTGCCCCCATGTCTGATAGAACCAATTTAAGCAGTTTCCAAAAATAAACCAGCTGCTGTCTAAAGCTGAGCCCATCAGGAGTGCTGGTGGTACTTTTTTGAGACCACATTTTAAAAAGAGTAAAATAAAAATTTGAGTGGTGTGTGTGAGAGAGAGAACTAAGAAAGATGTGAGATAAACACCCCAGAAGACATCAAGGTGAGAAAAGGAGGGAAAGCAGGTGTGCTCCAGGCATCAGAGCAGAGGTTCCCCTCTATCTCTTGGAGAAGAGCATGGTGAAGCTCTTAGTCCCCCTGTAGCCTGTGCACAGCCATGGTGGAGAAGATATCCACCTTATATCCCATGCTGGAGCAGGTGGGTCTGTCCTGAAGGAAACTGCAGCCCACAGAGAGACCACACTGATGAGGGTACCCAGCAAGATAAAAAAGGAAAAAAGTTGCAGAATTTTGATTTATATCATAACCACTTCTAAATTATTAGGAGGGGGTGATTTTCTTCAGGTCTGGTATAATTTGACTATGTATGTATATTTATTAAATACTGAAAAAATAAGAATTCTGTTTTGTTGTGTGGCATATTCAAAGTACTTGCCTTGAGCTATAAGTTTTGACTGATGTGAGTTTTGGTCGCCTGAGAATATATTACTTTCAATTCCTGCAGCAATAGAGGATGTGTTAGAGTCAGGAGTTCCTCTGAATTTAAATATTCACAAGTGAGTTAGGGTGAGTTGAATTCAGAGCCCTTCTCAGAATGGTTTTACAGTCCAGATATACACATTATAGGAAAAACAGTTGATGACACTTATTTCCTTAGGTAGATGGTGTGAAGAATGATTCTTCATGCTGAAACAACAGTTTATAATCATTCAGTGTTAATATTAATAAGCATAATATTTAAAAAAAAGAAATTAAAAAGTGTTAGTTAACTTAAATGTTGTTCAATACTCAAAGATAATTTGATGGGTGCTCTTCACAGACACCTACAGAGACATCTGCGGTAGTCAAATATAACAGGTTTTTCAGTAACACGCAGTAGCGTGCTACATTGTCAATGAGATGTCTGATAGAAAATAAAGACAGACCTAGTTTTAAAATTTGCATCTATTTGAATCTCAGTTTTCTTTCAAGTTCTTCAGTAAAAACAATGTGTAAGACTGCTCAGTTTTTCTCTTTTGGGTATTTTGCGTTGTTTTTCAAAGACGAGAAAAATTTTTCTAATTAAAACACATAGCATTTATGGTGTCAGTAGTGATAATGTTTCTATATTCTGAATAATGCAATACAAAATATCACTTAAGAATAAGATAGAATAGACCATTTCAGCAGGGAGGGATCTGCCATGATCATTCAACTGCCTGACCACCTCAGGGCTGATGAAAAGGTAAAGCAAGGTTTTAAGGGCATTGTCCAAATACCTCTTAAACACTGGAAGGTTTGGGGCATCAGCTGCCTTTCTAGGAATGCTTTTTCAGCATTTGGTTTAACTCCTTAACCAAATTGCCTTTATATTTAGCCGAAGAATACAAAGAAGTCTAAGCACATACACCTTCAGTCCACCATAATGGATAAATCTGAGAACAGAAAATTTCTTGAGGGTGATTTCTTCCTCTCAATTATTTTAGGTGGGTCTTTTTAGTTTAAATCATATTTTTGGTAAAAATGGTTTTGGTTTCTGCCAATGTTGTTGCAGATTTTAATTCCGATCATTTAAAGATATTTTGTTACTATTATGAAGTCTGAAAACTTGATGTCATGTAATTATATTCCAATAGAAAACATATATAAAATTCATTTGAGTAACTAAGTGAATATGAACATTGAAGCTAATTGAGGTATGCTTACATATTGAATTATAATTTTCCAGAAGTAAATTCATATAATGTGGAACAACACTAAGTAATTTCAAACAGTAGAATTGAAAACATCTAGAAAATACAAAATACTTGTTCAGAACCATATGGGAGTCACTATATTTAAATAAAAGACAGTATATATGGGTTGGGGTTTTTCATGTGCACGTGCACCTCTGTGCATGTGTATATGCAGCTGTATTTATGAAAAGGTGGAAAGCAACTCAAAGAACTCATTAACTGAAGAAAACCCACATGGATAAAGGGCCTTTATGTAGATACAGAAGAACCATAATTTACATCAAATGAGATAAGGAGATAAACAGGTATTATAGAAGAGAGGAAAAAGAGGTGTAATATATATCCATTTTATACAAGAATAATAATGTTTTTAATATTTTTAATGACTTATCACCTCAGTTTCATTTACAGCCATTAACCATCTCTAAATATTATCTCAGCAACCACATTATAGTATGTGCAAATAATTTCATAAGCAGAGTGGATCAAATCTTACCACTTTAGCATTGACTCCCTTCTTTGAATTTACAACTCAACTATATTCTTTTTTAAATATCATTCCTTTTTTCAATCCAGGCTCTTTTCTATTTCTTGCCCTGTGTTAAAGCCTTGGATGCAGACCTGTCTTGTGGAATGGAGTGCAACATGCAGTCATTCCCCGATAGAAAACAAAAAACTCTTTTTCCTCACCATAAAAGAGTAGTAAATTCCTACCTTACAGCAGTACGGAGCCAAATTCTTCCTGATAAAGTACTTCATTCTGTCTGATTTCAGAAGCCTAAAAAAACAGATGTCACCATTCAGTTCACTGTATGAACTCCCTGTGTGGTTGAAGGGCAGAAATGGGAACTTCTAGAATGACTTTGGTTTCATATTTGCATAAACAACTAAAATAAGTTTGGTGAATCATTCCTGACAAGAACCATTTTTTTGCATTGGCTGTAAGTGCCATCTAAATTACAAGCTCAGATATAGATAGCTACACTGCAATCTGTGAAGGACACAGGAAGTTAAAAGCAGTCATTATGAACATGATGCAAATGATGTGTAGAACAGCAAAGTGGAAAAAAATAGAGGTAAGCATTGTTGAATACATTCTCAAATTCCAGAACAAAATTTGCATTATTATTTCCCAAATATTAGCTGGTTTTTGTTTTTTTTTCTCTTGTATGATAAATTTTTCTCTTTAAATGATTTCTTTTATTTCTAGAATACTGACTCAGAGGCAGATCATGAAGTACTGACCTCAGATACAGTAGCAAATAGTAGCTAGAAAGAAGTTCAGAAAACATGCCACTTAAAACAATACAGTGTTTTGTCATCCATTTCAAGTTTTGTACTTGACTGTATAAAAAGTTCAATTTATTTTAGACAAATTCTTGAGGGACAATTTATTTAATTAAAGTTTACTCTTTACTCTTTCACCACTATCCATCTTTGCATGTAAGAAGATACTTTTAAAATAAAAACCAATAATAAATAAATAAATAATATTTTTAAATAAAAAATATTCTTTTCCAATATCAATTTTCTAAATTTTTCTCTCCCACATACACAAAAATGTGACTATATAAACACAAAATTATCACTTTTGGGAAATATATGCTAATTTTCAATTGTTTATTTCAATAGACAGCTAATTTCACATTCTTCTTTTTTATTACTTGTTTCTGCTTTAGATTGTATTACTTTTAAAAAACGTAATTGTTTCAGGGCTTCTACCCCAGCCTATATTTAAATAATTCACCCTGAATTTTAACAATTATTTCTGTGATGTCAGTGCTTTGGGCAAAACAAATGAAATTCTAAATGGTATTATCTTGTATTTCATTCTCTATTAATCATGAGCAATAATTCCACACTACAGTATGTGATTCAGGCTGCTTAATTTAGTCCCTGAGAAAGTTAATGCAGTTGCCACAATTAGGCACCCAGTGGTCTCTGAAGTGACACAGAATACCCAAGCTTGCTGTTCAGGGATATTTGACAAGCCTTAGGACATAACAGAGATTCTTTCCTCTCTGTCTCTATTCCTGGAAATCAGGAGGGATGCCTTAGAGACTTCTTGAATGCCTCTACTTTGGTAAGTGAGGATAATACCATAGGAACACTGTCAATGGTGTCTACAAGGCCTTTTATTGAATAAACTGCAGGTGTCTAAGGGGAGCTCAAGGATTCCACAGATTCCACATAGTAAATGGACAGATCATATTTAATTCTAATTACATTTGTGGATGTGCACCTTTAGATAACCTAGATATAGGCACCTAGATGTTCAAAGTGAATCTTACCCTTCAAGTTCTTTATAAAGCAATTATTAAGGAAAATCCTGGCTATGTCCTACAAATGAGTAGCTCTGTATTTTTGAAGCGCTACAGAGAAAACTACTTTCTGTTTATATTTGGGTATCACTGTGAGAATTCCTCTGTTTGTGTGAAATTCCAATAAATATGAATAAAGGCTAACATTGAAGAGGGACTCCAAGCTTATAAAACAGCTTAAGTGGACAATTTGGCTGCTAACTTGGAAAATCAATTCCCCTGTATTCAGAAATAAGTAGGTAATAAATCACCTGACTGAGTTTTTAAAATAAATCCCTGAAAAGCGAAACCCAGTGAGAAATTTTTTTCAATATACATAAATTTTCAAATCAGAGCTCTCAGCTTACTAACTGAAGAACCATTGAGGCAACCTCTCAACTGTAGCCTTATTGATGTTGAGCCAGAATTTTGTAGCTGGTAAGAAAGACAGGGAAAAAAATGATCACAGGTCTCATTGGATTATTAAGGAAGTCTGTGAGTACTCATGTAATTACATAAAATTCCATATAGGAAATTTATCTATTAGTGTAAACGTACACAACATGGGATGTTCAGATAAAAAGTCAAAAGGAGGGATCAAGGTGGATGTTGGTGGGGGTGGGGGATGAGTGTGCTAAAATTGTGAGAGGCTAAAAGGCGCCATACATATGTAAATATGCTGCTGATGGATATTCTTGTATGGCTACGCTCTGTTCAACGCAGTCGGTCATGTTTTATTATTAAGTTATATTCCTATTTGGGGTATGATATTGCTCTCCATTCTGTGTGTTTGATTTTCTAGTTATTATCCTCAACCTACACCAGCTAGGTAAAGCAGGAGGAAGACATAGTCTGAAAAGACTTGAGGTTGAATATAGAGCCTGCATGAACAGGGTCTAATCTTGGATTACTATAGTCTGGTACAAGATTTTGAGTGTGTCATGGGGCAGCTTTACCTTTAAGACAGCTTAGAAAGAGGGGAAGTTGGAGCTGCTGGTGGCTGATGGGAGTTTTTCCTCTTGACCAATTATCAGTCATTTCTAAGAATTGACAGCAGATCTGACCATTAAAAAGTGAATTCAACTTGTGAACACCCCCTTAAGAAGTACAGACAGAGGTCTCTTGCCCTCTTTGGTTTCTGGCTTTTGCCAAGGTAACGAGGCTCTGTCCTGGCCTCCTTCCCCCCCTCCAGGCCGACAAGGCCGCAGGGAGGGGGGGGGGAGAGAAGCAGAGTCGGTCAGCCGAGCTTGGTTTTCGGTTTCTGCTGCTGGACTGAAACCTGACACTATGAACTCTTGCAGCTTTCTAAAGCTTTTAATTCTTTTACTACTTGGATAAATGAACAAATTACTCCTTTTTCTCAGAAAAGACAGAGAATGAGAGAGACGGTCAACATGCAAAAAACATCATAGAACCACTAAAAACAGTGAGAGAAAGAGTTAAGTTTAAATAAGAAGGAGTGAATAAGGAGATGCGTACAGCTGAAATACCTTTCTGTTAAAGCTATGGAGATGGATAATAGTAGTTTAAAAGACTCCTTTAATTCATGACTAGAGTATGGGAGGAATAGAGTGTTCAAAGTGTGGACTTTTAAAAAAAGAGTAATTGTGATACTATGAGTTGCTGGAGATGGGTAGAGTGAAGATTTTTTGAAGCCTTGAAGGGCAAAGCAAAAGCTGTTTTCCAAGAAGGCTCACAGAGACAGATGAAGAGGACTTCTGCCTTTGAATAACTCATCCTTAAAATAGTATCCCTAGACTCATTTGACCCATGCACACCTCGGAGTGATGTAGAATGGGAGGAGTGAACTCTAAAAAACTCCATAGATCGGCAAAAAGAGACTTCTGTTTCTCTACAAAGACTGAAAGAAAGACTAGCAAAAATTGAGACTGTTTTTGACCACCAAAGTTCTAAATACTTTTTGTCTCTATGTTATCATGTGTACAAAAGAATGATTAAGTGGTGAGAGATAAAAGGGTTTTCTGGAAGTTTATTCTAGTGTTCTTATTCTTGTAGTTTGTTAATAAACTGTTTCTATTCCTTTTAAGTTTTAAGCCTGTTTTGCTCTTATTCAAATCCATATCTCACAGAAAAAAAAATAGTAATTTTTTAGTTACTGGTTTTAAACCATGACAGTGTTACAAAAATTTGGGAATAACTGCAAATCAAAGGAGAAAATGTTTAAATCCACTCATGAGCCTGCATCCTGCTCAGCTGGAAGGAAGGGACGGGAGGTATTGTACACACATATACAAGTGCTGTGTGTATACTGTGAGTGTATATAACCAGATCTCTGGCATACCTGTTCTACCTTGCTCCTGAATGGACCTGCAAACAGGACCAGCAGCAAGGAAGTGGAAGAGAATTAATCCCTTGAGCATTAAGTTTACAGAAGTTAGCTTCCCTTAACAGTGGGAATAACCATAACCACTCTTATTACTGTTTCATAATTTTGTTAATATTGAAGATACAGCCCTCTGTACTCAGGTACATTTATGCTGATAGATCAGTATGGCTTCATCTCCCAATCATTATTTTGCAAATATTATATGAACTTTTCAACAAGCACCAGAGTAAGAATTACAGGTTCTTCACATAGTTTACTTCATGTACTGACATTTTAAATAGGTGTTGACCCAGGAAAGGATACATTTCATCTTTAACGACACCAGGAACTTTGTCTAAAATAAGCATTGGATCAAGCAAATAGAGAAAACAGTTTTAGTAAGAAGATTAGTTTAGTTGATCAAAATCATTATGGTGACTAAGAGCTTGGATTTTTGTGCATTTTTTTTCTAACTCACATCAAGTAACACCTGTTGAATTCTTGAGAGTGATAATAAATTCTTTCATTTACTTCAGTTTACTATTTCACATTACAACATGTTATTTCTGAATTAAGTATCTCACTGAAGTATCACACATTGTAGATGACAAAGAGAAAATCTAATAAAGGCAAGATCCTTTAGAGTTCAGAAATTTTTCATGCTAGTATTATTATTATTATTATGCAAAACATACAGCAATATTTGACGTGTAAACATGCTATAAGCATGCCATAAAAGAGATATGGTAGGAAACAAACTATAAAAAGCAGCTGTGTGTCAGCTGTAACTGACTGTATGAGTACTGATAATGTGCTTCCGTGCAGTGTTAGATGAATTGGAAGCTTCAGTGTCATTGCTTAAAGTAACCTTACCTGACTTATAAATCAGAGTAAGCAGGTTTAATTTTCTATTTCTTCACTGACACCTGACACCTGCTTAAAGGATGTAGCTATAACAGAGGATAAGGATAAAGCTGTAACAGAACTCTGGGAAAGGTGGAAGCATGATAATTTAAACCACTTTTTATAGTTATGCCAGCATTTATTATTTTTACCGGTGAGATCTTCTACCCTGTTTTCCTATAATTTAATAGCTGAGCATTGGTTCAAACTTCTAAACCTTTTAAGGAGTTTTCTAACTCAAGACTACAGATCTGGCTTATTCCTTC